GCCCGGCCCCTGTTTGCCGGTCGGGACCGATAGTTTCTATAAACGTGCCGCGGACGCTTTGAAAAGGCAATCGTGTGTGGTCGTTGCTGTCCGCGCCGGCTTCTGCTTTCTGTTACGTGGTGGTGCAGTAGTGCACTGGGCGGGATACAAAGCATTCAAAAATTTCAGTCCAGTAATCCTAGAATTCGCTAAACATCCAAGCTGACGAGGTGGAGCATGGGTGGGGATGGTGTATCGACCTGTCGTGCATCTCTGGTCCCTTTTTGTGTGGTAGCAGCTCCATAACCCTCTTTCTCTCTCCGCCTCGCAGTGGGACCCCATGATCACCACGCTGCCGGGCTTGTACCTGGCCTCGGTGGGCGTCGTGAAGCCCGCGGCGTGGCTCTTCGGCTGGACGGGGAGCGTGGTGTGCTCTGCGGGAATGCTCCGGTTCATGAACCTCCTGTTCAGTGCTGGGAACTTCTATTTACTGTATTTGCTTCTGTTCAAGATCCATCAGAAGAATAAGGTATGGCTGAAGTATAATAGTTTTGTGCACTCGTACAAGCAATTTTGATGGCTCTGCGTATGTTCGCTTCACTACATATGTGAGCTGTCCTCGGCTATAAGTAGTTTTATTGAAATAAAACAGTCAGTACACATGTACACTTACTAGCCAAAGGTCTGAGTGCTCATCTAGTTGGAATTGCTTAAGACTCTCCATAAAACTTCAAGCACTGAATCCTGAGTGAAACCATATGAGTTGCATTTAAACTAAAATGTGTTCTTTAGAAAGATACCAGGTTTGATGTCAATGTTTAGAACCAGAGAATAATTCAAGTTGGAAAGAACTGGGGAATGATTCAGGTTGGAAGGGGCCTTAGGAAGTCTACCCTCCAGCTCAAAGCAGGCCAGCCTTGAGGTCAGACCAAATTGCTTAGGGCTGGGGCCTGGAAAGCTCTCCAAGGACAGAGAGTGACTGCACAACTTCTATGGGTGACCTGCTCCATGGCTGACTTGCTTCACAGTGAAAAAGGTTTTTCTTCCAGTCTGAACCTCTTATTTCTGTTTATGCCTGTTGTCTTCCCACTATGCACCACTTTGAGGAGCCTTGCTCCCTTTACCTGTTGTTATCCTCACAGGTATTGGTAGGCTGCTGTTTGGTCCTGCAAGCCATCTATTTCCAGGCTGAACGAGGCCAGCTCCCTCAGCCTCTCCTCTTAGGGCAGGTGTTTCAGCCCTCAACTGTCTTGGTGGTCCTCTGCCATTGCTCCAGTTTACTGGTGCCTTTTTTGTGTCACAGGGTATTCTAGGTGCAGCCTAACAAATAGAGTAAAGAGGGATAATCACTTCCCTTCATCTGCTGCTGTGCTCTTGCTAATGGAGCCCAGGAGGCTGTTCCTTAGTGCCAGGGCACACTGCTGGCTCATGTTCACTTTCCTATCTGCCAAGAACCCCAGGTCCCTTTCCACACAGCAACAGCTCCTCAGCTACTCTGTGCCCAGCCTGTATCATTGTGGGGATTTCTTCCTTTCCCAGTGCAGTCATTTGCATTTTCCCTTGTTGAATTTCATAATATTTCTGTTGCCCCATTCCTCCAGCCTGTCTAGGTCACTCTGGATGGCAGCTCTGCTCTTCAGCATATTGCCTGGTCCCCCCAGTTTAGTGTCATATGCACACTTGGTGTACTCTCACTGCCTTCAAGTCACTGATAAAGATGTTAAACAGGACAGGCCCCCAGTATAGATCCCTGTGATGCTCTGGTTGTTACTCTCACCTTTGGATGGAATGTAACTGGTTAACCATCCAGCCAATTTTTACCTGTCTAGCTCTCCATCCATCCAGACTGTAACGGTTCAACTTGGATACAAGAATATTGTATGTTTAAAGTGCTGGAGCATCCACCGCTGCAGTAGGTAAATTGTTCCAGTGGTTAATGGCCTATTCAAAATCTTTCACCTTAGTGACATTCTTTAGTTTCACTTTTAACCGTAAGAACGTTTTTTCTGGTTCCGCAATAACTGAAGGATTCCTTTACTATAAGGAATATTTCTTCTGATGTATTTTCTTACAGGAGACTCTTCATGTTTAAGCATATAGATAAGTCTTTACAGAATTGGGTCAAATTCAATAAATTGTTTCTACTTTCAGAACACTTTTAATATAATGCTTGGAGATAGAAATGTAAGAAAAACAAAAGGTATCATGACAGTAGTGTAAGCATTAGAAAATGTATTGTTGGCACTTCTTTGAACTCAGCATTTACTCTGTTCCTCTTTTCTCTTAGGCAGTGACGGGCTGTTTCACCCCGTGCGTGCTACATCATTCAGAAACATCATGCAACATTTTTAAATGTTGTGAATAGCATTACATCATGTAGTGAGCAGGATAATTGTGAGGAGTTTTTAACTGCGTGGTCTCCTATCTTCTTTAAAGTTTCTTTTCTAACTTATGAATTGCAATGAAGATAAACAATAAGCTGCACCAAAGATCAGAAACATGGAACTGGTTGCTCTGTGGACCGGGTTCAAAAGAGGGAATAGCAGAAGCGCAGAGTGATGGGTTCTGCTGTCTCACAAATAAACAATCTGATGACGAGATTGCAGGGGCATCAAACATTGAATTTTTCTTTTCTTTTGCCCGTTAGTGCAGCTCTTTTATCCTAGGTATGGGCACAGTTATACTCACACAATGATTTTAATGGCACAAATACGTGAACACCTGATGTGTGAAAGAAGTTGGTGTATTTTCATTGCCATGTTTTTAACTCACCTACACTAATGTTCTGTACTTTCATTTGTATTTTAGCACTGTATAGTCTGGTGTTCTGTATTAACATAGCAGGAGGTTAACAAAAATATAGTGTGCATGCTTGTGCAGTAATGGAACTAAAGAACATAAAAGATGCTATATTGTGGTAGTGGAATTCTCAGGAATGATACTGTTTTTTTTTTCAAACTTTTATTGGATGTTGCTAACTACATTTTTCTGCTTCTTCTTTAGGCTGTGTCTGGTTTCCAGAGAATCCTATCTACATTAACTCTTGCAATGTTTCCCACCCTTTATTTTTTTACATTCCTTTATTATACGGACCCAGGATCAGTATTTTTTACTCTCTTTGCCTATTTAATGTGCCTTTATGGTAACCATAAAACTTCAGCTCTCCTTGGATTTTGTGGCTTCATGTTCCGTCAGACGAATATTGTGTGGACAGTTTTTTGTGCTGGAAATGTTGTTGCAGAGAAGCTAAATGAAGCCTGGAAGACAAAGCTACAGAAAAAGAAAGATGAAAAGATTTTTTCCAGGAAAGGATCATTTTCAGACTTGATCAGAATATTGCAGTTTCTTATTGAATATCTCCTATCACCTAAAAACTTAGTTACACTTACTGCTTTAACTTGGCCATACATCATATTAGTAATTGTGTTCTTTGTTTTTGTCTTCTTCAATGGTGGAATAGTTGTTGGTGACAGAAGTAGCCATGAAGCCTGTTTGCACTTTCCTCAGCTGTTCTATTTTCTGTCCTTTACTGTCTTTTTTTCATTCCCTCATTTATTGACCCCTACTAAAATCAGGAAATTCATTCTGTCATTACGAAAACACCCTGTGCAGTACAGCTTAATTACTGTCATCTCTTTATTCCTGATCTGGAAATTTACCTATGTTCATAAGTATTTACTAGCAGATAACAGACATTATACATTCTATGTCTGGAGAAAAGTCTTCCAAAGACACGAGCTTGTAAAATATGTGTTAGTTCCAGTCTATATATTTGCTGGCTGGAGTTTTGCTGATACACTAAAATCAAAATCAATATTCTGGATCTTAATGTATTTTGTATGTTTACTAGCAGTCACAGTTCCTCAAAAGTTGCTAGAATTTCGTTACTTTATTTTGCCTTTCTTAATATATAGACTCAATATTCCATTTCCCTCTCTATATAAACAACTTCTGGAGCTGGCTTTTTATGTTGTTGTGAATGCTGTAACTTTTTATCTTTTTCTAAACAAAACATTCCAATGGCCAAATAGTGATGAAATCCAGAGGTTTATGTGGTGACTTTATTTTTTTTTTTTTTTTTTTTTTTTATATTTGGTCCATTTGCAGATCACACAAGCACCCTCCTAATACTTTCATACCCTTAGGAGAACCCAGTTCTCTTTCAGGACTGTAGGACTGTGGACTCTGGAATGAAGCAGTATGTTTTGCATTATGTAAGGACTTTTTTCCCCAGTGGAATTGGGAAAGTAAGCTGTTTGCTTATATTCTTGAACAGAATGTGAGATCTGATATGTTGTAATGTGAAAATATTCCATATATTGAGTTTATGAGCTCTTGGAATTAACAAAGTCAATACAAGGGGAAATTCAGAACATGTTTCTGTAATTAATGTGAAATCAGGGAGATGTTTACAATAATTTTTATTTGTAATAAAATATTATATAACATGCCCTTGAATGTACGACAGTTTATAAGTGTGTTTCAGAGGTTTCTCTTTAAAACAAAGTATTCAAGTATTTCACCTTTTTGTTACCTCTGGGTGTGTATTTACTCCTTTGATCAGGCCACTTCCATCCAGGTTTGCTAGTGGTCAAGGTATGAACCACCACTGTATTTTCAAAGCCTCCTGCATCCCACTGATTTCATGATTTTTTTTGTCAATAAATGCTTACATTAGTTTTGCAAACCTAATGTAGGCTCTTAAATCATTAGAGCATTTTGAAAATGTTATTTCAGACTGATATTTAGAAAATACAGTGAAGGCTGTGTGCATGTATCTTCTTGGGGGGAATAAATGTTATTGTGCAACAAAAGATAAATTGCAGTTGGTAACATGACCTATTAGAAGGGGTGTAATTTATGTATGCCAGACTGAAACATGTTGTTACACAGTGAAATGCAGTCTAATGAATACCCTTTTCAGTAATCAGGCTTTCATGTCCTGAGGTTCTGTGCTCACAGATTTGTATTGAAGTAGGATATAGTACACTCCAAGTTGAATTGAGTGTGTCTGAGATCTTTGTTGTGTAATCTTAAAGAAATACTAATGGCATTGCTGAATTGTTCTTTTAAATGTTTTTTATATATATATACAAGTCTAATGGAACAGATAGTATATATTTTGTTTTACAAAGGTAAAATATGATGTGTGTATATATGTATTTTTTAAAAGCATCTAGTGGATTATCATCAGAATAAAAGAAGGCTGTAATGGTTCCTGTCAGTAAATTACTTTCATTAGACTCAAAAATATTTGATTGCTTAAAGTTAACTATTAAGCAGTTTTATAAATATAGATAAATTATGTGGTGGTGGAGGGGCCCAAAACTTCACACACCATGTGGCATCTTGAAGTTCTTTCTTGTTCTGTAATGAAAGTACTGCAGCCAAATCTATGCGAACATATCATATTGTTACTGCTCCGGTCACTCTGAAATGGAATAGGTTTTCAAAAGGTCATTATTGTGGAGTTATTTACTCACATGGGTGCTGGTTTGTTTTTTTGTTTGTTTGTTTGTTTTTTTTTTTTTCAGCATGCAGGTCAATGTCCTGGCTCTGATTCCTTCCCTGTACTAACACCATGAAGAGTGATTAACTCAGATTCTCCTGACCAATGTCTTTAATACCCTGTTTCTTCTAAGGAAACCTTAAAGGCACTCTTCAATGAATAGGTTTATTTGTATTGAATTTGAGACCTTTGCCAGGTCACTGTTTACCATACTGGCAACAGGCCAAGAAGAATTTGTTGGTAATGTATGCACCATAGGGAAAGCCATTTTTGATCACTCCCTGTTTGCTGTGTTAAGTTGAAGGGACGAGAGCAACCTGAAATGGGTTGCTTTTCAAGAATCCAGTGTGGTTCTTGCAGAGTCCAGGATGTTGTCTTGTGTTGTGATTTGGGTGGGAGAAGTCTCACATGCCTTCTACTTCCAATTTTGTTTTCATATACCATGCCAGTAAAAGTGTAGACAAGGTAAAGGGAATATGTGTGTTTTAGTACAACTTCATTTGTGTCCTGAAATATTAGTACTGAGTTGGAATGGTAACATGGGAAGGGATGGGGCTTTGGCTAGAATTCTGAATTGTCTTCTCGACCTGGGTTTTTTCTGGCTTTATGTAGGGGAGCAGGTGTTAATTTGCTTGACAAGATGCAAAAATTCCTGTGCTTATGTAGCCCACAGGTCTTTTGTTTTGTCCAGTATATCTGTTATTGATATTTGAATGCCTTCGATTATCAGTGCTGTTAAGAGAGAGTGTTTGTGCTTCCTGCTTGGGCTAATAGAGATAGCAGCTGTGTTTCAAGTGAAAAGGACTGAGTTTAAATATATACAATTTTAATGCATTTCTTCTATAAAGAAAAGTGAATGCAAAAAGTCCGCCGAAATTTAGAGCACAAAACCTTTCTAATGAGCGCCACGTCACAAGAGACTAGACAAATTACTGTTGGGGCTTTTCGAACACGTATTATGGCTCAATATTTTATCACGGGATTTATCAGTATACTTTATGTTTTAATTCAAGAGTGCAACTATTCTCAATGTATTTTGCTAACTTAAAAGCAGGCTGAGTTGATGGAAGTTTAAATGAAAGAGGAAAGTCCATTAATTACTGAAACATGAAAGGAGAATTTATTTTTAGAGCAAAGCTATGTTTTCACTTTTGCTGATGAGTCACTGGGAGTTTGCAGGTAATATTCAGTGTTAGCCTGACAGTCTCAGAAATCGAGATGGTTGTAATTATATCCTAATTAGTCATAAAGAAAGTTCTCCGAAGTCCATCAACATCGCTTAGAAATTTGACAAATAGCAATAGCATTGTTTAAATCTAGATATAAGAATTCGTTAAACGTACTTTATAATTTTGGAGCAAGTATCTTTTGGAAAATTGATTTTAGTATTTTGCTCCTGAAATATTTCTGTTGTAGTTGTTTGTAATTTATTAGCTATTCATCTTAAAAACATGCAGAAAGGACTGTGTTTATCCTGGTTTGTGTCGCCAAGGTCTTCTAGTTTCTGTAGAACCATAATTGCTTACTCTAGGTTAATTTCTCAGCAGCTGTTATTTGGCAGTGGAATTATTTACCACAGCATTAAAATGATAATTTATTGTAAATGTTACTAATGAGCTATCCATTTAGAAAAAAATCACACTAATTTGTTGAAATGTCCAAGATGAAAACAAAAATAATGTAGCTAAGTTTTATAATTACTGTTTAAAAATAAAGGCTCAGGTTCAGTTTTTCTCAGAGAGAAAGATGATGATTTTTCAATAACTGTCACAAGTGGAAAAAAAAAGGCAAATATTTGAACACTTTGGTTTTTTCTTTTAGTTAAAAATAGGTTGTTATTTGGGAAGGTAGGAAGTTTGATAATTCTGTGTGCTGTGAGCTGTACTTTCTGTTATTTGTGAGCATTCTGTATTTCATTCCTTTAAAGTTCTTTGACAACACATGTTCATGTTTAAAATTAGCATGAATTTGCTGAATTTTTTTTTAGCTGTTAATTTTCTTGTGAGTAGATAAATCAGATGGATTACTGCTGTTAAAAATATTGTAGGAAAAATATTCAGTAGTCTCTGAAAGTTGATTTTTGTCCTGTTAAAGCAGATTTTATTATTTTTTTTTTTCACAAGGTGGCAGTCTTGTGCCATCTTGTTGAGGTGACCGACTGCTCAATGCAGTGCTGCTTGAAATATGTCAGGTGTTTTAGCAAGACTATTTCTGAGAATTAGAAAACTTCAAGTTCTCTCATGGCTGATTGCTTGATAACTGGTTTAGCTAAAATATCCTTGTGTGTAATTTTAATTAGGTATCGTATGTTAAGTTTTGGAAGAAGAGCAAGTTTTACTCATCTTTAAACTGTCTTATTTTGACATTTTTGGTATTAGTGGGATTTTCATGTCTGGTCTGAGAGAACAAAATGAAACTTGAAGGCTTAGTGTTGAAATGATGTCATTGTTTTAAACAGTGTAGTTGCTTAGAAAGTTAGCAGATTTTCTTCTGCTGTTTTATTATTAAATTTCACAGCAGTATTAGTTTCTTCACATATTAATTCTATTCATTGCTGTCTAAAAGAAAAATGGAGAACAAATTGAGGAATGTAAAGTAATCATACTGAAACATGGTGATTTTCTGAAATATTCACTCTTTTTAGTTGGATGATGCACATATGAAATAAAAATGCTCAAATGTCTGTTAGCCCTATAGTAATTCTCATACTGCATTTTAAATGTATCATCTAGTTTTTGTGTAATGAAAAAATGTAAAGCCAGAGTCCGTGAAAATGACTGCTTCCAATTATCTCAAATTCTTTGTCTGTATTCACCATCCTAATTTTTTTTCCCTGAAAAGCTTTACTTTATCTCTTGTTAGATAGGATATGCCTTCTGTTTTTGATTCAGTAACATTTGTATGTCAGCTGAGGCATCTTTTGTAGAAAAACATCCTTCTTAAAAGTGTGCTTTAGATGGATGCAGCTAATTGTTTTTACTAACAAACATCATTATGCAAGCAAAAATAATTTCTCCATGAGACAGAAATGCTAACCTCGCTCGCAATGTGTAGCTAAAATGGCCTTAATTTGCGAGTTTTTGTGCTTAATCTCAGAATATGCTCAGGACCTCATGCTGTTCCTTCAATTTCAGGGATATGAGGAGCAGGAAGCAAGAGGAGCAGGATTTGTACAGATAATTGCCATTGCAGTACTGCCGTAGCTAGGAGTGTGCAACACTACCAGGAGCAGAAATGAATGGGATGCATTTGGGGGTTCTGGGGCACTGCTGTGTTTAGCAGTGCACTGTGGCTTGCTAAAGTACATGGTGATATGGGAGAGCTGTTTGTCATACATGAGGGGAGATGTCTTCTCTGGCTGGAAGGAGAAGCTGCTTGTTGCTGGAGCTGGCCTGGTACTGTGAAAGTGATCTTGCTGAAACTTGGGAGCTAATTAGTTAATTGAAATAAGTTTTGGTACTTAGCTGTGTATCTGTAAATACAAACTGTTCTTACTGTGTTCTAGAAATGTTGTGGGTTCACCTGAATTGCACCTGTGTGTCGGTAATAGG